ACCTGTTTATTTAGTTCTATATTGAAACATACATTTTAAGTAATGATATATTATTGTTCACAACCTTTATTTTGACACGGTTTGTTGCAAAGCGCTTTATGGACCAATCCTTTTTTTTCCTTTTGTCTGTTAATAATAATAATAATAATAATAATAATGATAATGCATCGGTTTTATATAGCGGGTTTTTTGACACTCAAAGACGCTTCACATGTCATTATTCTCTGTCTGCAAACACTGTGGTGATAAATTACTATTGTAGCCACAGCTGCCCTGGGGCACACTGACAGAAGCGATGCAACCAGTCTGTGCCATCGGCCCCTCTGACCACCACCAACCATTCACACACACACCAGACTCATTCTAGGCAATGGGGGTGAAGTGTCTTGCCTGAGGACACAACGGCAGTTTGGCACTTTACAGCCGCCCCACTGTGGCTGGTGTTCCCAGAGGTTAAGTGTCTTGCCCAAGGACACAACGTTAGCAGACATCAGAGGGAGTTGATGGTGAAAGTCTTGAGGTGGGCTCGAACCCAAGACCTTCTGGCTCAAAGGCCAATGATCTACCAACTGAGCTATTTTTTCATTTCATTTAATAGTTTATTTGGATAGGGACGATACACATTAATCAACATTGCTGTAAATGTGTCAGTATTAGCTAACAGCTAGTTTCCAACTGTAGTCCCTAGGCAAGGTGTAAAATGCCATCAAAGTGCACTGCAAAAAATTACAATTACATTACAATACATTACATCACTTGACAATATAGAGTAACTAGTTAAAACATTTCAGTTTAAAACACGTAATTAAAACATATAAAAGCAAGTAATGCATCATGAGTGGTTACAATCTTGATTGTCCAATAACCAGGCTTTCAACGTATGTTTAAAAGTCCTGTGTGTGGTGCTATTTTTTATATGGCCTGGGATTGTGTTCCAAAACTGAACGGCGCGCACTGAGAAAACTGATTGGCCAAAGGAACTTTTTCTCAGTGGGACGAGAAGATTATTAGAGGCAGCAGATCTGGTGTTTCTGCTGCTCTGCTTAAAAAAAATAGATAGTGGGGGTGGGGCCAGACCATTTAAGATTTTAAAAACCAGAAGACCATCTTGAAATCTTACCAGGTTTTCCCAGCTGAGCATCTTATATTTGGCCAAGATACTGCAGTGGTGATGCCGGAAAGGTTTCCTATCCAGGACTTTTAACGCCTGTTTGTAGACAGACTGGATAGGCTTCAGGGCTGTCTTGCATCCCTGTGACCAGCTGGTAACACAGTAGGTAAGATGCGGCATTATCATCGAATTGAAAAATAAAATGGCAGATTCCTGGTTTAAGTTACTTCTGATGAATTTAAAGTTTGCTAAATTTAGCTTTACTATTCAGTTTACTTTCTTTACCTGTTTCTTGAAAGAAAAATGACAGTCTATGACAACACCCAGATATGTGTATTGTGTCACTACATTTATTGTGTTACCAGCAATACACACACTGGGGTTTGGTGAATTAGAATTTTGTTTAGAGAAAAACATACATTCTGTTTTTTTCAAATTCAAGTGCAGGCACGACTTAAAAAGCCATTCTGAAACGTGAATAATGGTTTCAGTCAATTTTTGGGCTGCTTCCGCCTTATCTTTACCATGTACATAGATCACAGTGTCGTCTGCATACATTTTTGAATATCACATCCAGAACACACAGATGGTAGGTCGTTTATATAGATGCTGAACAGGAGCGGCCCCAGGATAGAACCCTGGGGCACACCGGCAGTGTAAGCCCGATGGGACGATAGACTATTATTTATCCGGACCGCTTGTGTCCTGTGTTCTAGATATGATTTTACCCAGTTTACAGCTTCAGGTGAGAAGTTGAACAGTGATAGTTTGGAGATGAGGACATTATGGCTGATGGTGTCAAATGCTTTTTTCAAGTCCAGGAAAATGGCACCGACTACCCCCCCTTTATCCATTTTAGCCTTTACGCTTTCAATGAAAAAGCAGGTGGCAGTGTCAGTGGAATGGTTGGCCCTAAAGCCAAATTGCATGGGGTGTAGGTTGAAAGGAGAGTTGTTAAGATGGGCCTGTAGCTGATCAGCTACACATCTCTCCGCAATTTTTGAGACAACGGGCAATATGCTGATAGGTCTGTAGTTTGTGACTTCTTGTGCATTTCCAGACTTGAAAACTGGTGTAACAATTGCTGGTTTCCAAGTAGTAGGGCACAATGACTGTCTGAAAGAAGAGTTTATCAGTTTTGTGATGGGATCTGTGAGTGTTTCTCTGTGTGTCTTCAACAGTATTGTATCCAGTCCATATGAATCGGATGATTTCGAATTTTTTAGCGTCCTTATTGTTTTATCCACAATTGAGTGAGAAACTTCTCTTAGAGAGAAAACCGGTTCAAATGTATTTAACGGCACCACACTTAGAGAGTCCGTGGGTGGGTTGTAAGATAACACTTCAACGGACTCCACAAAATGCTTATTGAAGGTAGAAGCCACTTGTAATGGTTCCTCTATTAGACATGTATCTTTATATATTTTGATGTTATTGTCGCGGGTTTTGGTATTTTTTCCCATTAGAATTTTTAGCTGATCCCAAGTCATTTTACTGTTTCCTTTCCCTTCACAGATTTTATTTATGAAAAGGGTTGCTTTGGCATGCCTCAATTCCTTTACTACTCTATTTCTCAGGGTTGTAAACCTAAGCTTGTCATGCATCTGTTTAGATTTTAAGGATGATTTAAGGGCCATATCTCGCTCTTTCATTAACTTGAGTATGTCTTCATTAAACCAGGGAAGAACATACTTTTTATAACGCCTTTGCTTTACTTCTTTCTGATAGTGTTTTATCACACGCTGAATTGTGGAGATAAATGCTTCGGAATCCGCATTTGTATCATTACCAGAGAGTATACTATTCCAATTTATTTCATCTATTTTTGCATGAAAATTTGGCAGTTCAGTTTTTGGAATTTTGAGAGTGCTGCCTTTAATTTCATTCCGTGTTGGTCTTCTCTTTGGTAGCTTTCTAGATACAAGTGTAAGATTGTGATCAGATAGCCCAGTGATCATATTGTAACTTTTTTGAATTCGTTCTGGTTTATTACTGAAAACCAAGTCAATTTGTGTCTGGGTTGATGAGGTTATCCTTGTCGGACCTTTGACTACCTGGACAAGGTCATATTTTGTTATCATAGACTTAAGTGACTTTCTTGCAATCTTATCCTCATAATTAATGTTAAAATCACCCATTACAATGACTTCTTTATCAGGATTACAATGTTTAAGGATGGTGTCAAGTTGTTCACAGAAGGTAGATTTGGAAGATTTTGGTGGTTTATATAGTCCCAACAAAGTAAAAGACATTTGTGGTGAGAGTTCAATATTAAGGCCAATACATTCCAGGTTTTCTTCTGAGGGCCACTGTATTTGAGAACATTGTATTGTGTTGCGAACATAGAACAAGAGACCCCCTCCTTTTCCCTCTTTTCTGTCCTTCCTGAAACTGTTGTATCCTGGCACAGTCAATGCGGCAGGTGGGGAAGCTTTGTGGAGCCACGTTTCAGAAAGGCATAGAAAGTCCAGGTTGGATTCCAAGAGAAGGTGCTTGATCTGGTCACTTTTAGGGATCAAACTGCGTATGTTTAAGTGACCTCCTAGTAGGCCGCTAGGCTTAGCCAGAGGGTCCCAGATGACACGAGCATTATTGACTGTCTGCAGGAAAGGCAGCCTTTTTAGTTTTCTAATTGCAGGGTTTATTGCATTAGATTTACTTCTAATTTTTGTTGTTGTAGTTTTATTTTTTATCTCGGTGATGGCGTGTCTCGGTGTCTCGGTGATTGTCGCCCCGTTGTGCCTTTCTCAAAGCACTTTAAGGTTAAAGGTGTAAAGGAAGATTTCCCAGATTTTAGGAAAGAACCGCCCTCTCCACTTTTTGAACAAAAGTCTCTAGTCTTATTGGACGAGCACGTATCACCAGAATGATTGACAATTAGGAGGGACCAAGAGTGTTGATGATCCACCCGGAAGTAGAAAATCCTCCTATATACCTTTAAGATACAAATTATTTATCTCCATAGAGAAATTTGTCCTCTGCATTTGGTCCATCCAGTGGTCGCTGTAGTTCAACCCCCAATCTCAGGATGTGATGCTTGGTCAGAACCATAGACTGTAAATATTAACGGGTGTAGTCACCCGCTGTTGAAGCCAATGTGCCACCACTTTTGTCTTCTGTGGCTTTTTCAAAATGGCCGTGGGGCATGCTTCCAATCTCACTCCTAGAAGAGATTTACCAATGCTTTTGTATGGCGTCTTCTTTCCTCTTGAAAACCTCTTTACAGGATGGTCCAAAAGTGGCTCTTGGCCCAACTTTTCCGGATTTCCAGATGCTGTCAATGTTGAGGGGAGTTATTTTGTTTTGGACCAGTCTAGTTTAGCCACTGTGGACTTTTGAATGCACATTTTCCTGCCCCGTGGCCATTTTGAATAAGCCCACAGAAGACTAAAGTGCCTATGCACCACAACATCAATGCAAATGAGTGACTTCTGTTTTTCATGGACATAGCAATGAATGATTATGATTCTTCTGAAAATGATAAAGAATACAGACATAAATTACAGATGAGATGGCAACAAAACTGATTTATAAGCTGTGGAAGTAGGCAAGGCAAGGCAAGTTTATTTGTATAGCACAATTCATACACAAGGCAACTCAAAGTGCTGAACAAGATAGCATTAAAATCATAAATAATCACAGAACATTAAAACGAAAGATAAAAATATAAAATCCCTCAGTTGTATGCACAGCTAAACAGCACCGTTTTTAACCTGGTTTTAAACATTGTCAGAGAGGAGGCCTGTCTCACATCTTCAGGAAGATTGTTCCAGATTTTAGCAGCATGAATCTGAAAAGCAGCCTCCCCATGTTTAGTCCTGACTCTGGCACTAACTAGTAGGGCAGAGAGAGTAATGTACATATGTCTCACACCTTTTCTCCTCCACAGTCCAACGTGTACTGGCCGAACATTCACTCCATCAACCTGAACCTTTTCAACATCAGCCGCGACGACAACAACTTCCAGCTCACTTGCATCGCAGAGAACGAGGTGGGAATGACCAACTCCTCCATCCAAGTCAACGTCCAGTGTGAGTACAGCTTTAACCAGCACATATGCACTGTCGCACTACACTGAACCGAGAAAACCGTGTTACCACATCATCAAAAACAACCCTGCTTTCATGTTGGCTCAAGCTGCATCTGCGCCTGATGCAGTATTCCTTTACAACTCTCTCCTCTCTCCCCTCAGACTCAAAAACGTGCTACAGAGGCCTTTTTATGCCAATTTAAGAGCATGAAATCCCAGTCTGTGTGCCTTATTACATAACAGATCACATTTAAAAACAGAGGTACTTCATATGTCATGTTTATTGGTCAGAATAGCACATATTTTTTGTACTATAAGCCGCACTGTATTATAAACCGCACCTGTCCCACGGCGTAATAATGAAGAAAAACTATTACATGAGATATTTACACAAAGATATTATAAGTTCGGACTTTCTGCTTGATCACAAACAAATACTTATTACAAATGATTTTATCTAACCTTTTCCCTTACCTGTCTTTGTATTGACAAATGTCCCAATTTAAGTAGACCTCTGTGAACTATACTTCTATTCTGTTGGTCTACTGTAACTTAGAAAAATGGTAAACAAAATAATTTAGCTGCACCTTGCTAAAAGTCGCAGCCTTCAAAATGTCAAAATGCAGGAGAAAAGCCGTGTCCTGTAGTCTGGAAATTACGGTATATACATGCATCCTTTAATTTACCTTTAACAGATCAAATTTTAAAACAGAGGTACTTAGTATGTCATGTTTATTGGTCAAAATAGCACATATATTCTGGACTATAAGCCGCATCTGTCCCAGTGGGGGCGGGTCCCGGCTCAAAAGTGGCCAAAATGACGTGTGCTGACATGCTGCAATACCACCCCGGGCCTGTGGGGGTGGACCCGGCATAAGAATTAGCCAATGCTAACGTATAGCATTGGCAGACCTCTCGAAAACGTCTTTACAGGATGGTCCAAAAGTTGACTCTTGGCCCAAAGCTCCGTTCCACATGTGTGTCAATGTGAGGGAGTGTTCTGGACCAGTCTAGTTTAGTCGCTGTGGACTTTAGAAGACACTCGTTTAAATGAATGGGGCTAGAGCAGCTACGTCCAGTAATATTTACAGTCTATGATCTGTCCCAGTTGTATTATATTATGAGATATTTACACAGAGATATTATAAGTGAGGACTTTCAAACTTTATTGGATCTGTTTGGTAACAATAAAATGTATATTAGAAATGCTTTTTCTCTAACAGTGCCTTTAACCTTTAAATATTCCGTCTTATATGAGGGTGAGTACAAATGACTGATTGACATATCATACAATAGACCTCTGTAAACTACACATCAATTCTGTTGGTCTACTCTTACTTAAATTTTATTATTAAAAACCATAAAAAATATAATCTGGAAATTACAGCACATAAATGCGTCCTTTAAGCCTGTGATGTCATCAGAGAAAGTTTTGCATGTGTGTGGTATTTTATCGGTTTTATTTTTTGTCCCCACGTGTCCCTTACATCCCGAACCCCATGAATTGTTGTTAAAGCTACGGACACAGTATTAGTTTGTCACAGAATCACAGATGCAGTAAACAGAGGTCAGACCACACCTACGTTTACTCACAAATAAATAACTCTTAGTTCACTCCGAGCATGTGTTGACATTAAATATTTGCTTCTAATTAACTCATTTGCTTAAATAATCTCCACATTTGCATTTGGCTTATTTTAAATGGGGAGCATTGTGTGTGGCCCTTGTGTTATATCCTGTTATAGCAAAGCCTAATATGTTTACTAATGTAAGATTGTGCAAAGAGTGGTCTGCACACACACACGCACACACAGGCACACACGCACACACAGGCACACACACACACACACACACTCTTTAAAATTCAGGTCTATGGACAGAGTCTAAGGACAGAGTCTAAGGACAGGGTCTCAGGCGTTGGTCTAAGTACTTGGTCTAAGGACAATGTTTAAGAATAAGGTTTAGGAACAAGGTCTAAGGACAGAGTCTATGGAGTTGGTCTAAGGAGTTGGTCTAAGGAGTTGGTCTAAAGACTTGGTCTAAGGACAGGTCTAAGGACAGAGTCTATGGAGTTGGTCTATGGAGTTGGTCTATGGAGTTGGTCTAAGGAGTTGGTCTAAGGACTTGGTCTAAGGACAGGTCTAAGGACAGAGTCTATGGAGTTGGTCTAAGGACTTGGTCTAAGGACAGAGTCTATGGAGATAAAATAAGATAAGCTTTATTTATCTCACAGAGGAGAAATGTACATGTCACATTTGGCATGGATAGAGACACTCAGATTGTGCAAAAGGAGGAAATGTGCAAACATGTTACATGCAGGATATATATGTACAACAAAAGTGACAAGTGAAACAGTGTCAATAGCAGTGCAGGTTTTCACACAGTGATCATTTAAAGTGACTTATTGTACAGTCTGACAGCGGTGGGGATAAAGGCCCTGCGGCAGCGCTCCTTCCTACACTGAGGGTGCCTCAGTCTTCCACTGAAGGAGCTCCTCAGCTCCTCTACAGTCCTGTGCAGTGGGAGGTGTTGTTCATGATGGAGGTGGCTTTGGCTAGCACCTCCTGTCCCTCACCTCCTCCACAGAGTCCAGGGGCCTCCTGTCCCTCACCTCCTCCACAGAGTCCAGGGGCCTCCTGTCCCTCACCTCCTCCACAGAGTCCAGGGGCCTCCTGTCCCTCACCTCCTCCACAGAGTCCAGGGGCCTCCTGTCCCTCACCTCCTCCACAGAGTCCAGTGGCCTCCTGTCCCTCACCTCCTCCACAGAGTCCAGGGGCCTCCTGTCCCTCACCTCCTCCACAGAGTCCAGGGGCCTCCTGTCCCTCACCTCCTCCACAGAGTCCAGGGGCCTCCTGTCCTTCACCTCCTCCACAGAGTCCAGGGAGCAGCTGGCCTAAGGAGTTGGTCTAAGGACAGGTCTAAGGACAGAGTCTATGGAGTTGGTCTAAGGACAGAGTCTATGGAGTTGGTCTAAGGACAGGTCTAAGGACAGAGTCTATGGAGTTGGTCTAAGGACAGAGTCTAAGGACAGGTCTAAGGACAGGTCTAAGGACAGAGTCTATGGAGTTGGTCTAAGGACAGAGTCTATGGAGTTGGTCTAAGGACAGGTCTAATGTTTCTTTGTGTTTGTTATTATTGCGTTTGCTGAGGTCGAATGGTTTGATTCCCTGATCTGTTGTTGGTGAATTGACAGTTGTGTAAATCCTGCTGTTGTGACTTAAGGAGAATGAATAGAACTGACAACTATAGACAAAACATAAGGCATTGTGTTTTGACATGTTCAGTTTCTGTTCTTTCCGTGGCAGCTGGAGAAGGGTTACAGAGGCTACACATTCATATTACTCACCTCCTCCTGAAGAATCTCTCAAAACTGCAACTGCTTTTAAAAATCCACTGTTCAGCAATACTTACAACACCATGAGTTGTGTCTCAGATTCATTAACTAAACGTGTCTTTTGCTGCCCTCTTGCTCGTGCTGCTGATGCCACACAGTCGGGTGGCGTTGTGTTGTTAAAGAGCAGTAATCAATGCTCCTGCTGCTGCACTGATTGCATGGAATAAAAGCGAGTTGACGACCACTGAGCTGTTGCCTTCACATGAACGTTATCAGGATGTTTGAGCTAATGCCGTAAAGTTCCACCGGCTTCAGGCCAGTCTACAGTCTGCCTCCATCGTCAGCGGTTTTACATGACTGGATATAGCTTTAGCATCATTTACATGTTCCACTTGTTTCTGAGTCGACCATAGGAACCAGGAAGTACGACCATATTAGTCCAGTCCTCAGGTCTCTGCACTGGCTTCCTGTGGCTCAGAGAATAGATTTTAAAACAGCTCTGCTTGTGTACAAGTCTCTCCATGGCCTCGCACCAAAATATATTAGTGACATGTTAGTCCCATATGAACCAGCCCGGACTCTAAGGAGCACAGGGACTGGACTCCTGCTGGGACTCTGAGGAGCACAGGGACTGGACTCCTGCTGGGACTCTGAGGAGCACAGGGACTGGACTCCTGTTAGTGCCCAGAGTCAGAACTAAACATGGGGAGGCTGCTTTTCAGATTCATGCTGCTAAAATCTGGAACAATCTTCCTGAAGATGTGAGACAGGCCTCCTCTCTGACAATGTTTAAAACCAGGTTAAAGACAGTTCTGTTTAGCTGTGCTACAACTGAGGGATTTTATGTTTTTATCTTTCTTTTTAATGTTCTGTGATTGTTTATGATTTTAATGCTTTCTTGTTTTGTTCAGAACTTTGAGTTGCCTTGTGTATGAATTGTGCTATATAAATAAACTTGCCTTGCCTTGAGTCTTACCTGTAGCTAGGGCTCGGCGATATGGCAAAAAAGCAAAGTATCAATTTTACTTCCAGCTTTGGACGATTTCGACAAACTTTGCCCTTAAAAATCTTTGATCTTTCCGCTCAATATTCAAGTTTCAAAACTACTTTTAATTTATTTTCGCCAATACGTATTATAAAAGTCTCGTACAGACTGTGCTGATATTGCAAGTATAATTCATGTGCTGCTGGAACTCACAATATCCTTCATTCGATTTCACGATTTTCACATTTTTCACAATTTCGATTTTTTCAAAAGCCAATTAATCGCCTAAATTCAATTTATTGCCCAGCCCTATATCTGTAGCCATTATACAACATTATATACAGTTTAAAACATCCATCCATCCATTTTCTACCCTTTAATCCATTTCTGGGTCAGGGGGGTGGCAATCAGAGATGCCACCCAAGTCTCATAGCACCAGCCCCTCACTGACCCTCTGCAGGTGGTGAGTCCACAGGAGGACGGCTGCTCTCTGAGTGTGAGCATAGCCTTGATCTTTCAGTGGGGGCTTTGGGCAAAGTGGGGTTAAGTGTCTTGCCCAAGGACACAACGACAGCAGTCATCAGTGGGAGTCGGTGGAGAAGGTGCAGAGGTGGGAATTGAACCCACGACCTTCTGGCCTTAAGGCCAATGCTCTACCAACTGAGCTACTGTCGCCCTGTGT